CTCGGTCACGTCCATGGCTGACGTCTGCGACGGCTTGGCGAGGCGCACTGCGTCGGGTGGGAGCCCAAACGCCTTCTGAATTTCGAGCAAAAGCAGGTCGATCCAGTGCGTCCCAGGCAAGAGCGTCGAAAACGCCACGTCAATCTCACGGCCAAATGTGAGATGCGCTCGGTCAAAGAGCACGATCGAGACGAGCATGTTGGCGGCGCCACGCGGCGCGAGCGGCTCGAGCATCTGGACGGCAAACGACCGGTTCTCGTAGAGTGACAGCGGCGACGCCACGCCGAGCGTGCCGTCGTCGGACAGGACGCGCTGGAGACGATGGTTTGGCGACAGGTCCATGAGCCACAAGCGCTTCGCGCGGGGGTGCGTGCGCGCCAGCACGGCGAGGATGCGGGCCTTGAGCTCGCTGACAAGCATCTCGGCCGAAACCACAAGAGTTGTGCAAAATGGCAGTGCGTGCGTCGACGGCCAGACGTGTCGCACGAGTGTTGACGGACTCGTCGTGTCGGTGGGCCTTGGCGTGTAGAGGTGAACGTGGACTCTGAACTCGCCGGCTCGCAGCGGCGCCCCGGGCTCGATCCACAGATTGGATTGGTCCATGAGGGCTAGGTGTGAAAACGACGCCTCCAGGTGCTTGAGCTCGATGCCCTGGCTTGCGCCGCGCCGCAGCGTCAACGTATCCGATCGCTGTCCGAAAAAGGTGCAGAGTTGATCTTTGAGCACTTGGAGAGGTCGCCGGCGGTCAACGGTGAACGGCCAGCTCATCATGTCGTGCTCGACGTTCTTGGTGCGTAGCAGCTTGGGGTCCTTTGTCTGGACTTGGAGGGTGATCAAATAGGCGCGGGCCTCGAAGAGCTCCTTGGCGAGCGACGGCGATGCCGCGAGATCGTCGACGGCTTCCATGTAGATGTTGCTGCCATCCCGGACGGAAAGATCTATGCGCAGTGTCTGCCGCAGCGTCGCTTCGTCGTGATTCGGGTTGAGAATTCGTGTCGTGATGGCCCAGTAGCCCGTTGAGCGCATCGTAAGCAGCCGCAGGTGATCTCGATTCATGTTGAACTTGGCGCTGAGCAGCGCGACCAAGTCGTCGAGTCGCGCGTTACCCGGGAGTTGCACAAGCTCGGGCGGCTCGGTAAAGTGCTCTGGCGTCGTCGGCGTCGATGGCACGTATTGGCGCACGAGCAGCTGCAGCGCCGTTGGATCGTACACTGCCCACGCCTCGTCAGCGCTGGCTCGGACCTCGAGGCACAAGCAGCTCCAGGCGTAGATCACCAATGCCGCTAGCGAGCAGTGTTCACGACCGTCGTACGTCTCGCGTGGCAGCATGTGGTACTCGGAGTAGGCCCGCAGCCGGACGCGGTTCAGCGAGATACGCAGCTCAAAGAGCGCGACAGCCTGAACCGTCACCTCGGCGAGCGTAGCGTTCTTGGATACATGCAGCATCTTGTGGCTGTTGTCGTACAAGATCTTGATCTGGATCATGTCGGCGAGGTTGGCCTTCTTCTTCTCTTCTGCGACGCGACATTCGGCCCGCGCTTGCTTGTTTGCTTGCTCGCGTTGCATCTCGGCTTGTACAAGATCGACGAGCCAAGGAGGTATCAGGTCGTCGGCAGGACACTGGACCTTGCGAGAGACTTCGACCTGGCGGTACTGCAGCACGTAAGCACACGGCGCGCGCGTTGCCTCGTAGTAGCCACAGTTGGCCGACGCGACGCCATACGCCGTGCGCAATTTGGCGTCGGAGATGGTCGAGACCGAGGCGTCGTTGAAGCAGAGCCAGTGACGATCGTCGTCCAGTGACGCCTGGATGTACGCGACATAGTGACCAGCGTTCGCAGCGCCAGCGTGTACGAGCACTGACGCGAGCTCGTAGACAAACGGACCTTGGGTTGCCAGCATAGCAGCGAGGTCAAAGGACGGGTGCCACGAAGCTTCTGTTGCTGCTTCTTGCGTGGTCGTGGAAGACGGCGGCACCTTGGGACGGCTGGACGTCGAGGCATGATGCGCGTTCATGTCGAGGTACTTGGGAAACGAGACTCTGCTCGTAAGCTTCGACGTGTCATGGCTCCATGCAAAGCGTTTGAGGTGGAGTGTGAGCAGCGGCGGTAGTTGCACCAGCGACAGGCGCTTGATGGCGTCTTGCTTGGTGCCGCAGACGTCGCAGAGCCATTGGTTGTCACTGACGAGACGCTCGGGGGCGAGGACGGTTGCGATGGCGTCATCAAGACTTGTTGGTGTTGATGGAATGGCGAGCGAGAGATCGAGAAAGGCGTCATCGTGGCTGCTCTCGCGACCGCACGTGATGCATTGGACAGAGTCTGTGAGCGTGCCTACGCATTGTGTCTATTAGGAATGCCTCATCCAGATGAAAGGATGTAACCTTGGTAGAGGTCTTTGACGAGGTTTGCATTGGGCGAGCCTTGAAGTGAGGCATCGAGAGCCTTGAAGAGAACGTGGTAGAGCTCATGCACGTCGTGCTGCAGCAAAAGATCCGATGGCGTCCAGCCAAAGCTCTGCATGAGCGAGGTCGTGTTGATGGCCTTGCGGTCGGTTCGCAGTTGGAGCCTCGCAAAGAGGAGCTGAAGTTCCCGCAGAAGGCTGCCTTCACTCGCGGACGATGTCGACTGGTACAGTTGCGTGCGCAGCTCGGGTGTCATGTAGAGTGTCTGGAGGAGGCTGTTGAGGTAGCAGGTCGCGCCGTCGTTGCGCAGGCCGCGGTACTTTGTAGCTGGCGTCATGGTCGTCAGCATCATCGATGCACTCGTCTCGGCGTCGTTGCGCGCGGGCGAAGAGGAGCTCGCGTCGGGACAAGGGTCGATGGTCATTCGCTTGTCGACTGCGCTGGTTGTTGTTGGCGCGACCAATTGGCAAAGTGTGAATGATGGTTGCTTGCATTATAATCCAGCTTTGAATGGACTATACAAACGCCAAGGTGTTATTTACGCGAACGTGATTGGCAAGAGTGTTGCCCTTGGGAAGAGCTAGAGGTCCCTGCGCTCGACGACGGTGGCTGCTCGATTGAATAGCTTACGGCAACAATTCAGCGACCTTTCATTGATCCAAAAGTCATTAAAAGATAAGCTTCGTCGCCTTCTTCAAACAGGTGTCGAAATCTCAAGTCGATGTGCTGTAGGCTTGAGCGCCATGGCCCAGCCCAGCTGCGGGACGACCGTGTTGTTGTCTTGGATGGCATACGACATGTGACCTGCCAGCATGATCGCGTCCATTTTGTTGCCGTTGTCATCAATCTCGACGTCGACGGCCGCGTAGCCCGGTGGCAGATCGTCCGCCGCAATGATTGGGTAGGTAGATGTCTCGCCGGAACTGGTCGTTCGCTCATCGCCCTGCCACCGACCTTTTCCGTCAAAGACGGCAAAGACGCTCACCCAGCCACTCACATAGCGTTGGCCGCAGCCTTGGTAGGTGCTGTCATAAATGCTTTGCCAAAACGCCGTGTCGGGCTCGCCACGCGCCGCCGCCACAAACTGATCGAGGACGCCGCTGAGAAGGTCGACCCACGTCTGCATACGCTCGCCATACGCTCGAAAGTGCTCGATGCGCGACCGAATTTGCTGCCAGTCGTCGACCGAGCCGAGAAGCGTCACCGTTGGAATGCCACATGCGATTTTGAACTTGTACTGGAAGAAATTCTTCATCGTGGCCATGGTCAAAATACTCGCCGTGATGCGATCGTGGGGCGTGGTCGTTGTAAAGTTGGGCAGCAGGACGTCGGCGAGCGCCGGGTCGACCAAGTGCGCGCGCATCTTGTCGACCATTTGAGTCGCACAGACACCAAAGTCGACCGTATGGACCGTGCCCGCCGTTTCAATCTCGAGCTCGATCTTGCCTTGGCGGTGCTTGACAAGCCGCGACCGAAGCGCTTCGCTGCTACCGTCGACGTACAGGCCAAACTGGCTCGTGAGCGCCAGCCAAATGTCGTCGGGCCGCAGCACCAAGTGGAGGTGCTGGGCGTACGCTTTGCTGACGCCATCGAGAAAGCCCGTCGTGGATGCAACGAATGGTATCGCGAGCGGCGACTGCTGGTGCACGCGTTGACAGCCAGCGTCGACGTACTCGGGCAGTTGATCAATCGCTGTGGTCGTGTCGCGAAGCAAAGGGCCTGAAAAGTTGGCTGGCGTCACAGGCGAGACGGCAAAAGTGATGCTGCTCGAGGCTGGCGGAGGCGCCGTTGGCTGCCAGAGAAGCGCATAAGCAACGACAAGGACGGCGGCCGCGATGTGGTGCGTCGGACGGTCCACGGCGCCCATGTCTGCGAGATCGTGTTTGAGAATAGAGAGATTTCGCAAGACATTTCCCGTTTCCGTCTGCGATTTTATCCTGTCATAAATGATTAGAAATGGAAAGTCTCTGAAAACTAATCGTGAAATTCGCCC